AGAAGTCAATCTTCATATTGTCCTCGGCCTATTTCAATCGATTTTGAATGTGATCTCGTCAACGCAGGCTTCGATACCGGTTTGACTCTTGTTGCTATTTCCCTCAGATACCGACACCGAGTACTTTTAGACACAGTAGGATCCCCAATGCGACTGAAAAGCTCTTGACTGATAAGTCCAGGGTTCTTCGTGGCCTCTTGTTTAAGTCGTGACATGAGACGACGTGAAATAACCCTCGGCTTGCCTTTTATCTGCCCTTTTGCGTACTTGTGTAGGGTCGGCGGTGAACTTTTTCACTGTTTGATGACATTCCCTATCATTTTAGAAATTTCTAGGGTAGATTTACCTTTTGAGAGTTCTGAGGTGATAGTTTTCTTTTCAGAATCATTAAACTGCTTTTTTGGCCCATCTTTTCACTAAATTCTTATACTATTCTAATAATGTGGCACGCTCAAATCATCCTGCTGATAACAAATATGGCGCCAGTTTGTTTACATTGCGCAGATCAGTACGAAAATTTCAGTGATTGCGCAGATCATTGTTGCCAAAATTGTGTGAAAAAATTTTCACGAATTGATTGGACGATTTTTTGAAATATTAGAAAAAAGTTATCTTGATAATAATTTGACACGCAGTGTATATATATATATATATATATATATATATATATATATATATATATATATATTTATATATATATATATATAAAAATCTTTATATTAAATAAAATTAAACATCTAAAAAAACATTAGATTAACTACAAAATGTTTCATTCATACAATATCACTAGTATATATGTATATTTTTGCATATATATTTCTCAGCTATAATATATAATGTTACAGTGAATTTTGTCTTGTATTCTAAATGTTTATTTTTACCGAATTTTCGAGTTTTGTTATTTATTTCGTCGATAAACTTGTTTTTTTTATTTTTTATTTTATTTTTTTATTTATTTATTATTTATTTTAAAATGCCAATATTTTTATTTATAATAGTTGGGTTTTTCAATCATTTAACAATTTTTTTTGGTTTGAGAATTTAATTAAAAGTTTGCAAAAGTTCAATTTTTCCCAAAAAGGATGATATTCTTAAAAGGAGATGTTTAAAGACCGAATTTGGGAAGAATGTTTTTATATATTACAAATAATTTACCTAAATTTATTTTTTATTTTCGAACGTTGGGATTCGCAAAAAAAAGTTTTTGTATTTATTATTTATTTATTTATTTTATTTAAATTTTTTTTTTTTTTATTATTGAAATTTGATTATAATTTCAAAGTTTCTTTTTTTTTTTATTTGTAAAAATTTTTTTTCATGCCTGAACTTTTTGATATGATAGTTCAATTTATTTAATATATTTGTCGACATATATATATGGATATATATTTTATATATATACCTGGATTATTGATTCTATGTATATATAAATATTTCTTATTTATATGTATAATATAATTTTTAAATAGATATGATTTTTCAAGATGTTATATATATATATATATATATATATATATATATATATATATATATATATATAAATATATATATATATTAGAATATATATAATCAAGATAGATAGAAGATATCCATTCGCTATAAAACATAATTGATTAAAAATGGTTATTTTCCATAGTGCGAGTTAGACAAACGATCTCGATAAACTTTTGTTTTGATTCTAGAAAATCATGAATATTGAAATAAATGTTTTATTCATCATCAGGCATAGTTTTTAGATATATTTTCAAAAACTTGATTTATTTATACTTGATGTCGATAGAATCATTAATTTTATATCTATATATCAATGTAAGATCTCGACGTCATGTTATGTTTACGTTTTCAAAATTTTAAGTGAAATTTTATTTAAATATTTCTTTTCCGACCACATTCTATTTTTTGAAAAGTGAATTCCCAAATATGTCAGATAAGTATATAGTTCAATAATATTATGTAATGTCGCCAATAATCGCATTAAAATACTTCTTTGAAAAATTCTATGTTCTATTATTTTTTTGTTTTCATGTAAATTACGTTAGTTGAATAATGTTTTTATTTTTCTATATATATAATATATATGTATATATATAACAAAAATATATGAATAAAATTCAAATAGTGAATTTTTTTATGAAATGTAAAAATATTTGTGAAGGCTTGAGCTATCATCATCATTTTCTTTTTTTTACAAACGATAGAAATTTTGTTTTTCAAATGATGACGTCATGTTATAAATACAAATAAACATATAATGCCATATATTGACAATTCTTCTTTGATGATTTCATGAACATAAAAGCCGTTTATGATCAAGGAACATTTTATTTATTAACAGAATTTTATTCCTTGTTTGATTGAGTTTTGAAGTCTTTTTTGAATTTTAAGATTTTTTGATTTTCTCTCAACCTGAAATGTTCATATTGTCACTTCTTTTTCTAGTTCAGGCCACTGGAACTTTGATCAAGGATTAGAATATTTTCATATTATTCAATTGTTGGAAAGTGTTTATGGTTTATTTTCTCCCCAAAACAGAAGTGATATACAAAGTGGAACAGCTCATGATCAAACATAATAGACATTCGTTGTCTGTTATATGTAATAATATATGTTTACATGCATACATACGTACATACATATATATAATATATATATATATATATATATATATGTTTTGTATTTTATTTTTAAACATTTTTGAAACATTTTTTTTAGAACTGTGTAATAAAAAAAAATTATTTTAAATAAATCAATTTATAATATATATATATATATATATATATATGAAGAAAATATATACGGAAAAAAACAAAATAAAATCCTATATACAATTTATACTGTTTTAATGTTAATATGTCAACGTCGGACGTTTCGGTCTAATAAACCATCTTCAGGACATATTCATAAATTATAACATTATCAATACAACATGACAAAGACGATGTACATAAGCACAAGACTTATCCAAACAAATAACTGAAAGTTTTATAAGATCAGCGCTCCGTTTAAAACATGGTCACGTTGTCGTCACGTGGACGACGCTGTGAAAACATGTATATATATATTATTTTTAAAGATATAATTTATTTAGGTAAAGGCTCTGCTTTTTTAATTAAACAGTATTAATCATATTTTCAAGCGAGAATTTTCTTTGGTTGAATGCTGAAAGCACGTCATTCTATATGACGGTTCCCATAAGGGTTACAGGTTCAATTCCTGTCCAAGAGCGCATTCTTTTACAAATTTTGAATGTTCGCCGGTAAATGCAATAGATTTTAATTAAAAAACATTTTAAAGATTTTAATTAAAAAACAGATCACTTAGTGATCAATTTAGTGGCACGCTTAAATTTATGGAGTCAGGACATCAGGAAAATATACTCTACAGAAGAGTCGTCATGGAAATATTTGCAGAAAACAGAGGGAAACCACATGGAAGGGAACAGTATAAAACGAAATAGACACAATAGGTCTATCTTATCCATTTAAACATGTTTTGAATGGCCACCTATATATATATATATATATATATATATATATATATTCTATATATATATTTATATATATAATTATTTATTTAAAAATATGATTGCAACTCGCAATAAATAAATATTTATATTTATGCTTTTTTTTCTATCGAGCACTATTTTTTTAAAATAATAACTAAAATACTAGGAACTTTTGATTATTTACCTTGTTTCCTTATCCTATTTTCTATATATTTTCACATAATATATATATATATATATATATATATATATATATATATATATATATATATATATATTAGACTTTTTCTGATTTCGACGTATGAGTGTCAAATCTCAGTTCCAATAAACTGATCAACAGACCAAAAAAAAAAAATTGATTATAGTGGTGAAGGCTTTAAAATATTCACCAACCATTTTTTTTGAAGAGCCGAATACAGAGATCTGGTTTTTGTGCCACAAGGTCCCAAAATGTCCCTTTGCAGATTTTGAATTCAGAGTTGTCCTTCTCATAGACCAGTTGCCATCCCAGTCAAGTCCGAACTCAGTCTGTACATAGCTTAACGGAGAAGTGGAGGTTTCTTACCTTTCCCAAGGATAATAGTACGTAAATGAATGTAATGGATCCGTCGGGAAATTTGAAATCGAATTTTCGATTCCTCAATCCCAGCCAGTATCCACACACACACACACACATATCATATATATATATATATATATATATATATATATATATATATATATAATATTTAATTTAACTTTTTAGTAACACCGTAATTCCCCACCTGATGAGACGTCTAAGAAGGGTTTTCCTTTTTTTTGACGTTGAAACAAAAATGTACAATTTTTTAGTGGATATGTGTATGTTCTAATGTAACACTGCATAAGATATATATATATACGCATTGCTCTTCAACTGAATTGAGCTCTCCTGCTTACTGGCATATTTCATATAGAAAACGTTAAAATGTCCCTTTCTCTTCTTCTTGCGACGATAGCCTAGGGGTAGGATATCTGACTAATTCCAAATCGGTCAAGTTTCGATTCCGGCTGGAAGCAATTGGACGTCTAGTTAAGACTGAAGAGCTGCAATATATATATATATATATATATATATATATATATATATTGCGTATTTAGGAAGCATTCCATTCATACAAGTTTCATTAAATATGACAGAATTAAGTTTGTTTTTTGTTTATATAATTTCTCATATGATCTTATAACTGAATATCTATATCATTCTGTTCACATATCTATCTATGAAAAATTTCTCAGTGTTAAGCTGTAGAAAAAGACTATTTATAAAGGTAAAAGACAATAGGAAAACTGTTTTATTCGCCGACGCATTTCGTCTAATGTGGACATTTTCAAGGCAAATGGAAATGAACATTTTTTCAATAAATTCATTTCGTTTTTGCCTTGAAAAAATTCACATTGGACGAAACGCGGTTTTCTCATTGTCTTTTACCTTTATATCTATCTATCTATCTATCTATCTATCTATCTATCTTAGTCTGTTCATATCTATCTATCTATCTATCTATCTATCTATCTCAATCTATTCGTATGTATCTATCATACTCTCTTCCTGTCTATCTGTTCTGTTCAAACTACACAACTTATTCTGTGCAAATCTATCTATCTATCTATCTATCTATCTATCTATCTATCTATCTATCTATTTATCTTAGTCTATTCATATCGATCTATCTATCTATCTCAGTCTGTTCGTATCTATCATAATCTCTTTCTACATATCTTTTCTTTTCAAACAAACTATACATCTCATTCTGTTCGAATCTATCTATCTATCTATCTATCTATCTATCTATCTATCATAGACTGTTTTTATCTGTCTCTTTCTCTCTCCACCTCTCTTTCTCTTTATCTATGTGTCATAGTCTGTTCTTATCTATCTATCTATCTATCTATCTATCTAATTTCGCTTTACTCGATATCTTTATAATATTCTATTCCTCATTTGGCATTATATCTGTCGTACAAAATAGAACGAACATATATATATATATATATATATATATATATGTGTGTGTGTGTGTGTGTGTGTGTGTGTGTGTGTGTTGTGGTAGGATCTACCTAATTTGCATAGTAGAGTACCGACCATATAAATATGGTTGGTACCGGGAAGAGAGAGGAGGAATCAAGAGATTCAATCCAGAGACTCTAACCGACTGCGACTCAGTCAACACATTCTCCAGGAACGGTCTTACCAGGAATATACAAAAGACTATATGTAAATATTGTGTACACTTTCTTGTTTCAATACATTTTGTTCTAAGTACATTTTGTGTTGCATTATTATTCCATGCATTAGTCAAGTTTCAACAATATATATATAATAAAAAGGCTTAAACACTAATAAACCATGGCAGTTGTCATCATCATCATCAGCAGCAGCATCAGAATCATCATCGTCATCACCAGCATCATCATCAGCATACAGCAAAATCCTCCTCCTCTTTATATATAAGTCTTCCTCCTCCTCCTCCTCCTCATCATCATCATCATCCCATATTTAGCGACGGGATAGGGAAATTTCTACGGATATTTTATTGGCGTGGAACTCGCCATATGCGCTTACCTAATCATTAGCTTTAGAATTAAGACTGATCAGGATCAAATAGGAAAACTGTGAAATTTTCACGGGTTGAAATTAGTATTTAATTAATTCCCGTAAACAGCTTAAATTTATCGTGTAGTAGTTTTATCCATTTAACCAAATCTATAGGTGCAAATCGAAACCTCAAAGTCATCCTCTTGGCTAAAATATTACCTCAAAATACCTAAAAAAAAATTACTTAAAAAATGCCTAAAAAGATTAGAATTTTTTTTATTTTTTATTTATTTATTTATTTATTTATTCCTGGCGATTAAATTAACGATTTGTTCTGATGACGTCATTTTATCACAGCACAATTTTATGGGGATTCGTGTTTCTATTAAACAAGGAAATCTCGTGAAGCAGATAAAATGGACTCGACACATACAACGCCGGCTGTCCTAAACCCGGAGATTGTCAATAAATAATAACCGCCAAAAAGATAAGGGATAAAAAAGAAAGAAGTGTATCAGTGGCATTAACTTATAACCGCAGGAAATTGGGGTATATTTTTTTATGGATATGCGGAAGGAAAAATGAAATTTGAGAAATTTCTAAAAATGCATTCTCAAAATTAGCAGGGTATAAAAAAAAATCTTTAAAAAAATCATATTACAGTTTCTTGTAATAAAAATGCGCAAACTGTTTAACGATAAATATTTCCAGTATAAATTTTTTTCTTCTTTTTTTTTCCTTCCATTTTGTTTTTATTGCAGGCGAGGAATTTTCAATTTGTTTGGATTTTACACTTCAACGGATGTACAGAATCAGTTCGATAGAAGCCGGTTTTTAAAGACACCATTCCAATGTAGAAATATCAATGAATTTATGATTGACAAAGAAGACCCCAGTTAAAAAAAAAAAAAAAAAAAAAAGAAAATTTTTGTGTGATCATTTTAAAATTTTTAATTCGAAACCACATTTCATTAAAAAAAAAAAAAATAAAATGTCTGTTTTTAAAAATATTATATACATATATATAAATATTTATATATATATATATATATTAATAAATAATAAGTCCTTCAATAAAATCCTTGAATTATCCTTCACCAATGAATAAAATTGAAGAAAAAAAATTGACAAAAAAAAAACATCTTGAAAACAAATAAACAAAAATTTTAAATTGATTTGAAAAAAATCCATTTAAAAAAAAATATTTTAAAAGCCCATGCCCAAATCTTGGTTAAAATTTCCACGATAACAATTTTTTAAAATTTATTTTAAAGTAAAGATAAAAAAATATATATAAATATATTAATATATATATATGTTATATATAAATATATGTAATAAATATGACAATTATTTGAAAATAACTCTAGCGAATTAAAAGTTTTTAGAAAAAATAAAAAAAAAAAAACCATAAAATTAAAAATATCACAAATTGTAGGTAATTTATTTTTCTAAAAAAAAAATAAACAAAAACCAAAAGAACGAAAAATTTTCGCTGCATTTTCATTTGGAAAAAAAAATTTAATTTAAAAAAAACCGTTAAAATTTGTCGAAAATTATATAAAAAATTCCGTTAAAAACAATTATTTTTATTTCATGCGTGAAACATAGTTGGGTTTTAAAAAAAAAAATTTTTTTTTATTTCAATATATAATAAATATATATATATATAAAAATTCTTTGAATTAAAATAAAAATATATACTAAATCAATTGATTTGAAAACTTGGGAACGATGGAACTCAGGATTAAGGTCTTCATCTTCAAAGGATTATGTAAACAAGATTACAAATTAAATCACATTTATTTTCCTGATTTAAATCCTTGTTTATATGTAAGATTAAAATAAATATCTGATTATTGTTTATCTTTTTTTCGATAAATATAACGGTAAATTTTAACGAGCTATTAATGTAACTGTATTTATAAATATAAAAAAAAAAACAATTTATTTCAGTTTTAATTTTATACAATGTATTAATTATATTGCAAAATCTGGCTAAATTATTCATTTTCATGATATTTAACTTTTAAATGGAACATATAATTTTCAAAATTAAAAAACTTGTAATAGTCCAAATTTTTTGAATGTTCTGTCAAAAAAAATAACCAATATTTTTTTAATTTTTTTTTATATTACAAAATTCCAGTAATATTAAATTTTGGGAATGCTAATCTTGAAAAAAAAGCTAAATTTATTGACTGAGGGATAAAGGTGTATATTGTTAATATATATATTATATATATATATAATTATATATATTCTATATATTATTTTATTTATATTACAGAATTTAGAAAAGTATATAAAAATAAATATATAAATCTAATTATAAATATAAAAATTTACTTACTAAATTTCATCCTTTGATGAAAAAAATAAAATCAAAAACATGCGTTTTAAAAAGATGGAAATATAAATGCCTTCCCTTAAAACATTTAAAAATGTATATAAATACATTTTAAATTAAATAAAAAGAAAAACAAAAAGTAGCGCCCCAAAAACTTAATTAATAAACCAAATTTTGGTAATCTTTAAAAAAAAAACATTATTCTTAAAAATCATATAAAATATATTTTTTATATATTTTTATTGTTAATAAATATTTTTATTTATATTTTTTATATATATTCCATATTATATATATATATTATATAATTTTCTTTTTTAAATATATATATATATATATATCGGCCTATATATATATATATATTTATATATATATATTCTAAATGTGAAAAAAAGTATACAATTCTTTATTTCTTCCCTTTTTTGTTTTAAATTTCTTTTTTTTTAATTAAATATTGGAAAGATTTTTTGAGAATGGATAATCATAAAAATTATGACTTTTTTGGCGAAAATGGAATATATGTATTTGAATAATATTTATATATTATATATATATATTCTTATTGAAATTCATTTAAAAATTTATTTTTTGTTTCACTATCATTTTGATCCTATGTATCATAAAATTAAGAATAAATTGGAATAAAAATTTGACAGAAATAAAAGACATATCATTTAATTACATATATATATATACAAAATATATACAAGAATTCATCTATAAATTTTTTTTCAAAAATACGGTAAAACAAATTCTTCTGCATTCTTCTGGACCCTTTTTGGTGAATTTATAAATCCTTACCTTCTGTTCATCTTTTCTAAATTACATTCATTTCTTTTATCCACACCTATATATAGTATTTATTGCAGTCTATATAAATGTGACCATATAAAAAGTTTGATATGGTCCATCTTGAAGCCATTTCACAATCCTTTTAACAAGTATGGTGCAAAATCCTTGTTGCCCCTTTCATTTATTACAAGTCAAGAAATTTGATTGTTTACCTTCAAACTGTGCAGTCGACAAAATCCATTTACATTTGTTTTTGTGCATCAAATTACAAAGATAAAATGGCATCAATTTTCATATTTATAACATATTTCAACGCGTACATGGTAAAATAATAATTTGAAATAAAATTAATTTCTCTGGTATCCAAACTGCAAAATCGATTTAAGCCTGTTGCTGATTTAATTTGGCATTTCAGTCCCAAAAAACTCTAATTTCGAAACGGTTAAATTTTTAGCCGTGTTATTTAACCAATAGCCTTTAAAAAGATAGAAACCTCAACAGAATGCAATACATAGCACAACACGGCCGTTTCGTCCTCAATTTTTCACTCATCAGCAGTGCGCATCCACTACCGAAAAACCTGAGAGTATGGCTTCCTTTCTCAAGCTCTGTTTTGCCTTCATTCATGTCATTGTCGCGCTACTTAGCCCTGCCTTACTGGCAACTCTGATCACGTCAGCGTATCTATTAACATCTCTTTCCACTCCCCATCCTGCAAAGAACCTCCTACTATCATAATTTCTTAATTTTTCTGGGTCCCCATTGGAATGTGGTTTTTAATCACCCTGTTCAAAAGTGTGCGTCTGAGCTCTCCCCCTGTTTAAAAGCTGGCATCGAGGCTTTCATCATAGCAAGAAAATTAAAAAGTTAAACCTCGCTCATATCCTCGGTCCTCAGCTGCTTGCACAGCTACTATAGACCATAGGAACCACTTCTTCCGCCTGTAACAAACCGGCAAGTCCGATTGCAACAGATGTCTCTTTATCTCTGATCCCAATGAGTGCAAGCGTGTCCTCGATGAAGCAAAGTTACTAATTGCTGATAGAATGAAACAGCGTATTGCATCTCGAAAATTTACTTCTAAAGTTTATTGGCGGCTCTGCAAAAGTCTTCTGAACAACAGCAAATTCACAATCCCTCCTTTATTCAATCAATACGAAGTCCTAACTTCTTCAGATCATAAGGCTGAATACTTTGCTCGGAAATTCTCATCCAATTCAACATTTAACTCTTGACTATCCACACTAGA